ATAATTAGAATTTAATTATAGATTAATTATGGTCATAGAATTGCAAAATTTAATATAAATTATAGATTATTCTTGGTAATTTCTAAAAGAATTAACGACTAAACAATTAGATGAATTTTTGTAGACTATTATAGATTAGTTTTGGATAATCTCTATAAGTAATCGATTCACGGTAGAAGTTAGGATTTAATCACTAGGAATTTTAGACGTATATTATATTTAATCGGTTAGTCATAGGCTAAATTAAATCATATAATATTTCTAGGATTCCGTCCGATATTTAGCTCGCGATAGAAATTTCTAACCTATTATATGGATATAATGCTCGGGTAGATTAAATTAAAAACTTATGACAACAAAATATTTATACTCGCAAAATAGTTTGAATCGAAATTGGGTTTGCCTTAGTTCGCGAATAATAAAGTTAATATAAAGAAATCGACTTTCGCATTCGACTTTCATTTGGAATTTATTTGGATTTTTATTTGAATTCTAACCGAATTCAAATCAATTTTCGCACGTAACTATAGAGACCGAGGGAGTTGCGGATCCAAGCGAAGGTCAAGACCTGCAAGAACATTGAGCAAGGCAAGTCATCACTATTCCATTGAACATGTTGATCCCAATTGCGAAATTGTTTTGTTTACAAATAAAATTGCATGCAATGATGAACATCCTACTTGTGATTATGCCATGCCTTGATTATTGTTTGCCCCTTATTCCTTCGTAACCATGTTTACGTATGAGTCCCTAGTCAATTATGACAATTGCTTAGAAATGCTATTCTAGAATCATGCATACTCATATTTATCAAATGCTATATGCTTGGGCAATTACCTTTGGGATGGTAATTGAGATGCGGCATGTGGAGACATGAGCGCCACATTGCCATGATGTTAATGACATGATTTGTGAAAGGAGAAATAAAATTAAACAATTATTTTCGACTGGGGCGGACGGAGGATTTGGGTGGTATCTGGAAAAGGCTAGTACCGTCCCCGGTCAATTAAGGACCGAGCCATGAAGCTAAGCATGAAACGACCCCTCGTACAACCGCACTTCTCGTATGGGTATAGACCTAGCGGACTAGATAGCCGAGCGGAGGCAGTATCCCTGCATAGATGGTTCACCCCTGAGTGAGGCAGGTGCGCTACGGTAGGACAGCCGTTGAGGTAGGGCCGAGAGGCGAGCCCTACATCGGTGTCGCCATTGGTAGGACTGCCATGAGTGTGTGAGAGAGAGAACTTAACTTGAACCATAATTTAATATGTGTGTGAGACTTCTCTTTCCCAGGAGCGCCAGAACTCCTCTCACTGCTAGAAACATGAACGCCTAGAGTGCATGAGGATTTAAGTTCATGGAGCGGGTACTGCCAATGCGAGGTTATCGAAAAGCTTTGCCATGACGCGTCTCATATGTTGGGACGAGGCTCATGTGTTGGGCAGTCGCGGAGTGCGGGTAAAGTGTGCATCCACTGCAGTGTGAGTAAACCAAATCTATTCGAATAGCCGTGCTCGCGGTTATTGAGCACCGGGACATGTATTACACTTGGCTAGACTCTAAATTCTTTAACTTGTGTGGGATGGGATATTACATGATGACTTTTTTTATGCTGATGGAGCCACTTCCTGAGAGGCGGGAATGTGGACGTCCTCAGAAAACCATGACGACTCAATGGCGGGAAGCTATCCTTGGGATCACAATGGATGGTGGACAGAACCATCGTTGTTTAATGTGAACACTGGTATTAAAACTTGATCAGTCTATGCTAGGTCTTAGGCTTGTGAAAAGAATTACAAAACTTGCTTTGCGCAAAAGAACCATAGCCATCCTTTGAATTCCTCTGTCATGTGCATTATTGCTGTGGTGGCTTGCTGAGTACGGTTGGTACTCACCCTTGCAATATTCAAACTTAATCAGAGGCCGGAGATGAAGCTTCGGAGGATCCCTATGCCTATTACCAGGAGAGTGATGAGGATGATGGCGCTCAGTAGGTCTTAGTTACGGTCGTTGCCTGTGGCAATGGCGTGCCGCTGCCTTAACTCCGCTGCCTTACCTACTTCTGTTTTTGGAATGTATTCTGGATCGCTCGGTCCGATGATTTAAGACTGTGCCTGCGGGCTTATGATGTAATAATTCGTACTAGACTCTCGTGTATGTGCACTTGATATTTCAGCTATGAGTTCGTGTGTACCAGACTACTTGATCCAGGGAAATGGTACGGTTTATACGATTGATTCCTGTTATAAAAATGGGGGTCTACACAAGAGGAGCTTGACGCTTACGTGGCATCAGAAGTCAAGAGACAATTCAAGCCTCGAAGTCTAGAAAAGAAGATTCCTATAGACCCGAGTGTCAGGAACTTCTTCAGGGGTATGTCTGCACCTGTCAAGGAGGCCATCAAGCTATCGGACTATGAGTGAACGCTGAAGAAAGCATCTTCTGCAAAGTCCAAACCAGTCCCTCAGCTTGGAGAGCAACCAAACCAGGAGATCGAGCCGTTGGTGACCGGGGAAGACATGACGATAGAAGAATTTATTACTGACACCGGTCTAACTACGATCAATTGCTAGGAGTTGAACCAATAGAAAAGGCGGAACTGAAATACATGTACGAACTCGGTAAACCGCTTGTTAAGCCCGAGCTGGTGCAGTCCCTACCCACACAAATGTACAAGTTCCATCAGCTGTACATGGAGATGAGCGCCACCGGTAGAGAGATGATCGGAGCGAGGATCAGGGACCCGGACTTCTTGCAAGGAGATGACATTCTCTGGATCAATTTCAAGGGAATCTACGAACTATACCAGCTGGACGCCCTCGACGTCTCTATTATGAGTTGCTGGATTTTGTAAGTATTTCGTTCAGTTATATTTCTTAATTACTACGTCTCCTTTAATTAATTAGGTCCTTGTATATAAGTAGACTATATAAAATAAAATACTCCCTTTTATCGTTGTAGAATGGAGATTCAAAGGGCCCGACGGCGGAGGGTTTTCGATACTGGATTCATCGACCCTCGGAGAGTAAACGTCGCAATGCTCGACCAATATCCGCAAGAAACAGAGGACAAACTCGTCCATCTCTTGAAGACGCAGCATTACAAGACGTTCATACTGTTGCCGTACAACATAGAGTTAGTTTAATTTTACTGTCTTCCTACATACCAAATTTCATTCCCGTACAAACTTGCTAAGTGTTTCATATGTAATGCATCCCACGCACATTGCAGATTCCACTGGGTGCTTTTACTCTTCGACCTGTCGGCCTGCACCGTCAATGTATATGACTAAATGGATAAAAAAGAGTCTACGTTTGACAAGGTTTTCGAACTTATAGACATATACTGTCATAAGTTCCTCTGTTAATTAAGAAATTCTTGTTATGTTAATTATTTCTACTACGAATCATATCTTTAAACTCCATGTAGGGCTTGGTATCGGTTCCGTCATTTGGTCCGCGGCAACTGGAGAGAAAGACTTAGGCGGAGGTTCAAATTTCCTGTGAGTACACATGCTCTACATTTATATTTCTCCGATTCAATTAGATCTCACGCCGTTAATTTGTCATTTATTTGTAGTGCGCAAAGCAAAAGCAGGGAACTAACTTGTGCGGCTACTACGTGTGCGAGTATTGCCACTGCCTTGCAGACCAAATCATCACCACAAGAGAGCTCGATGTACGTACAAATAAATTCAAAATTTCATTACGTAACGATTTCTTGTTTAATTACTAATCAATTTCATACATTCATATAGTTTATTCGCATGAGGGATAACCTGACCACACACAAGGAATTTATCGCGGCGGTTCAAGCACAACTCATGGGATCCATCAACAAAGAAATCCTTGATCCCAAGGGTGAATTCTACTATGACGGAAACACAATTCACCGGTCCTTAGCTTCTGAGCTAGCGACTACTACTACGTCGAAATCGTACCTAGCTAGGACATATAATGGATTGTAATTAATACATGACTACATATGTTTCTATATGCATGTGTACACATTTTCTATAATGTAAATATATCTTGGTCATATATATATATATACACACACACACATATGCCTTTGCATAACATATATTTGTATAAATACATATATATTATGCATGTACATATGTACTGAACCATATATACATATAATATAATATAATATATATATATATATATATATATATATATATATATATATATATATATGTATGCATATATATGTATTGAAACATATATATGCATGGTTCAGCAACAGGGCCATGTAAAAAAAAATGGGTCAGCTCGATCTTCAGTCCCGGTTGGTAAGGCTCAGCCGGCCACGTGGCTGAGCCATCTTTAGTCCCGGTTGGTGTTACCAACCGGGACTAAAGATCGATCTTTAGTCCCGGTTATTTCACTCGGGACTAAAGATAGCGATCTTTAGTCCCGGATTGGTAGTCCCGGTTTGGAAACCGGGACTAAAGGGGGGTTACAAACCGGGACTACAAAGGGTTTCTCCACCAGTGAAATGCGAGCACCCGTGTCAAATCTACGACTTGAACCCAGGTAAGCAAGTTCCACCACAAGGAAGCTAATGATCAGTTCAGCTACGTTCACTTCGTCATTAAAGGTAGGTTGTAGAACTGATGATCTGTCAATGGTGAAATATAGATTCTTCCAAAAAAATGATCTATGCTAAATGGATGGATTTCATTTGTTGCTACCTTGGGTTTCTTCGAGCATGTGTTAGTGACACACTCCCGCACGGACGTGCTTATGATGCGTTATGCTTGTATATGTGGCTTTCACCTAATGATGATAAACAAGCGCAATGATAAGCTGAAGCAGTACATAATTATGCCCCCTACCCCGCTAATGGCATATATGTGCTTTCCTTCATAACTCAGTTAGGTATCAAGTTCTTCATTCTCTACTCTGTCGTGGCATGACTTTTGTTGCTTTAATTTCTAGCTTGCTATAAATTCCTGCACCTCAGTCCTGTCCCAACCATCAAATTCGTCTTGATCAAACTATCAGAGCACATATGGTACTCACTCACCTCCTCTGCTCCCTCCTCCTTGCCACCGCATTGCTGCTGCTCTCCATCTCCCGTACAGGTAACCATGGCAAACGTAGAAACGCTTTCGATTTTGGACTAGTAGTAGCTGATCGATCGGCAACGCCAAACGATGCTAAAATTCCTTTTGCTCGTCAATGCAGATGCGGGCGAGATCGGGGTGTGCTACGGGAGGGACGCAAAGGACCTGATCGACCCACCGGCGGCGGTGAGCCTTCTGAAGGCGAACGGCATCTCCGCGGTGAGGATCTTCGACGCGGACCCGACGGTGCTGGCCGCGATGGCGAACACCGGCATCAAGGTGATGGTGGCGATACCCAACGCCGACCTGGCTGCCGCCGGCCAGGACCTGCGCAGCGCGACCGACTGGGTGGCGAGCAACGTGGCGCCGTACCGCAGCCGGGGCACGCTGATCAGCGGCGTCGCCGTCGGGAACGAGGTGTTCAGGCAGAGGCCCGAGCTGACCGGGGCGCTCGTCTCGGCCATGCGAAACGTGCACAGGGCGCTGGAGAACCTGAACCTGGCGAACGACGTGAAGGTGTCCACGCCGATTGCCTTCGATGCGCTCAAGCAGTCGTCCCCTCCATCTGCGGGGGAGTTTAAGGATGAGATCGCGCAATCGGTGATGAAGCCCATGATCGACTTCTTGAAACAGACCGGCTCGTTCTTCATGGTCAATCTCTACCCGTACTTCGCGTACGTGGCTCAGCCGGACAAGATCTCTCTCGAGTTCGCGACGTTCCGCCCTAATGCTGGTGTGCTCGATGGCAATACCGACATCAGGTACTTCAGCCTCTTTGATGCTCAGCTCGACGCTGTTTACGCCGCGATAAACAGGGTTTCTGGTGGTAGCTTAACGGTCTCAATGGCTCGACGAGATGGAATCCTTAGTGTGCAAGCTTCGGAATCAGGGCACCCCTCTGGAGGTAGATTTCCCCTATCTTCCATGCTAGCTGCAGCCGATACGGACTCGGTGGCCACGATAGCCAACGCCCAAGCGTACAACAATGGGCTTATCAGACGTGTTGTATCCGGAGCCTCCGGTATGCGTGACGTCTCCGCCTACATTTTCTCTCTTTTCAATGAAAACGAGAAGCCTGGACCAACCATAGAGAGAAACTTTGGCTTGTTCTACCCAAATGGTCAGAAGGTGTATGAGGTTGACTTTCGGGGCGGTGGCGGTGGCGGAGCTTGTCCTACAAAGACGAGTTGGTGTGTGGCGAGAGCAGATGTTGGGAGTGCAGCATTGCAGTCAGCGTTGGACTTTGCGTGCGGTAACGGCGCGGACTGCAGCGCTATCCAACAGGGCAGTGTGTGTTTTGAGCCAAACACCTTGGTCGCACATGCATCGTACGCATTCAATGACTACTACCAACGCAAGGGCCAGGCTAGCGGCACTTGCGACTTCTCTGGCGCCGCTTCCATCGTATTCAAGCCATCACCAAGTAATGTTTTGCTCTCAATCTTTAAGATCAATGAGGTTTTCGCAAATGTGCATTCATATCTTGATTCCATCTCATTGTTTATTTGTTTTGTGAATTGTTTCCCGAAATATAGGCATATGTGATCCGAACCCAAGTTGGTGTGTTGCGAAATCGGAGGTCGGGGACGCACGGCTGCAAAATGCACTAGACTATGCATGTGGTAGCTGTGCGGACTGCAGCGCCATTCAACCAGGTGCACAGTGCTTTGATCCTGACACTAAGGTGGCACACGCGACCTATGCATTCAACAATTTTTACCAGACCACCGGTCGGGCTAGCGGATCGTGTGACTTTGCGGGTGCTGCTTCTATTGTCAACCAGCAACCAAGTGAGTTTTCTCTCATTTTACTGTGCATGATATATATGCCCTACTGCTACTAATGTACATATTAATTCCTTAGGAAAAATTGCACACTTCTGTTTCAAGTAGTAAAAGAAGTAAATGGTTATCTTATTAGTGCTTGTTCAATAATTTACAGAAATAGGAAACTGCGTGCTCCCACCAAACAATGCTTGGACGACAGAACAAACTGCAATTGAAGATCAATCGACTGCAAACTTACCAGCAACAGCTTGGCAGTGAGGATGGATTAAAGAACCACTTCATATTTTTCTGCAAAGAAAAAATAATGGTACCATTAATAATTAGTTGGGATTGAAGAGACGAATAAATGTACCGTTCACTCCTGTTGAATGAAACCCCGCTGTTGCACATTTCAGAGAATGCTAGAAATACATGTACGCCACACTGCAGCAATGCACCGAAAACCCGGTAGGCGCAGCTTGTCATCTTATAAACTACAACCCAAATTTAAGTTTTCAAACAAAATTTCGAATTAGTCCAGATGTTTTTCTTTATTCATCGCTTCCTGCTTTCAGGCATTGGCTTGTAAACCGATAAAAGTAGGAGTATAAGTCCGCTCTAAAATCATTCCTGGTTATTTCGTTCATTTTTCTCGGATTTTAAACCTACATTGTTCGTAGTTGAGCGGAGGTCGACTTCTACGAGGACGATGGTGCATTGGTGCGATGCGGGCACTGCGAAAGATCCAGCATCCACCGGCCGGCACGATCTCCGTTCACTGGTAGAGAAGGGGTTTTTACTTCCAGTTCGTAACCCCCCGTTCACTGGTGGAGAAGGGGTTTTTACTCCCGGTTCGTAATCCCCTTATAGTTCTGGTTTTCCAACCGGGACTACGACTAAAGATCGCTATCTTTAATACCGGGAGTAAAAATCCAGTTGGTAACATCAACCGGGACTAAAAATAGAGCCTTTTTAAATCCCGGTTGGTACTAAAGAGGCTTGATCCAGTTGCTACTTTACTCTTTTCTTCATTGTTTTTAATATATTGATTCACTCTATCCCATCTCAAAATCCCAAATCAATCCTCCCCGAATCGCCTTCAAATACTCCAATTGATATCTCCAAATACATCACAACATCTTAAAAAAATTACATCACAACTTCTACAAAATTCATCACAAATACATCACATATTCACATCACACACAAATCAAATACATCATATATTCACATCACACACAAATCTCAGATCCGAATCACGGATTCTCAGAAAAAAATGAACGGCTGCCGGCGCTACGCCCGCTGCCGCACCGGCTGCTACGCCCGCTTCCGCGGCGGCCGCCCGGCTCTCCACGCACCGCGCCGCAGCGAGGCCGCCAGCCGCCGCCGCGCCGGCTAGCCCTCCGTGCGCCGCGAGGCCGCCAGCCGCCGCGTGCCGGCCGGCCAGCCCTCCACGCCCCTCTGCTGTAGATCAGGTGGGGAGGAAGAGATAAGGGTGTGACTGTGTGAGGAGGAGTTAAAAGGAGAGGAGATATGTATCCGATCCACGCGCAGCCACTCTGTGTATGTCGATCTTTTTTCCCTGTTGGTGTTACCAACCGGGACTAAAAATAGATCTTTAGTCCCGGTTTTTAAAAAAGTACCTCTAAGCTTTTAAACCGGGATTAAATATGTTTTTGTCCTGGTTTTTAATATAATCGGGACTATTGTGAAATCTGGTCAACCGGCTAAAGATGTTTTCTCCACCGGTGGTTGCTCAGGCCCCAGGTGGCTAGGTGCCACCGGCATAGATCGCTTAGTCCTCGTCCTTGTCCGTTGGCCGTCGGTGGCGATCAGCACACATCATCATCGAGAAGACGAGAACGCCAAGGCCAGACTCGATCACCTCGAAGATGGACTACTCCATGGCGACATTGTGGCCGCCGGCGACAGCAGCTTGCACGGAGAGGAAGATGGTGAGCAAGGCAGTACCGATGTGGGGAGGAGGGAGGTGGCGAGCCACTTGATGGCGGCGGCGCGTCGAGCGAGATGTGAGGCGCCACACTCGTGAAATTGACTGTCGACGAAGACATAAGGGTTTGGGGATTGATGAACAATGGGAGTGGAAACCATTTTGGGCTAAGCAAACCCGTTCTACCATCCAGTGCAAATCCATGGATATATCGAACCCGTTTTGGGCCACAAAAGTTGCAACCAAATCTAAATCACTTGCACCTCTCAAGTATGGGTCTAGTTCGATTATTGTCCCTCAATCGCAAAAAAGGAATATACAACATCTCTCAATTACTAATATCGGTTCATTTTGTGTCACAAAACGGTTTTGGTGGTGGTTTAGTCCATAACGGATCCTTGCCTGTCCTCTCTAGCGCCATCGCCGTCCGCAGAATCCGTCAAACCACCAAAGCCTACTTGTTACAGTGCGCAGCCCGGCCCACCAATCGTGGGCCACCCAGGTCACATTGGACCTGCTTCACCACAGGCCCAACGAGAGCCACAACTTTAGGTTTTGGGTCTACACAACCCAAAAGGCTAGTCTGATGGGTTAGGACCGCTTCCACCTTTTAAGTCGTGCTCCCCCATCATCAATTACCGATGTGGGAGTAAACCCAACATTTCTCTTCTCATAAGCATAGCTTTGTATATTTTGATCGATCTGTCGGAATGCATGCATACAGTTCTGAGTTGTTGTCTTCTTTTGAGGATTAATTCAAAGAATTGCCAAGAATAGGATCAACATTTTAGCATTGATATTGAGTTATTGACCACATGTTCTTGGCTGGCTGCTAATTCATCTTGCAGGTCGAGTTCATTACCAGGCGATTAGCCTGCTACCGACGCGACGTGGCCCATGACGATGGTGGCCAAGAAAGGGAGGCGCATCACGGGAGGAATACGGCGACACGTTGGTCATGGTGGCCCACCTCCGTTGTAACCTTACCATGGATGGGATGGCTTACCCGCCAGCTCCCTCCCCTCCATCCTCTCCTCTCCTCTCCTATGCCACCATGGACTACCGCGGCCCCTCCTTGCCGGCCCTCGACCACTACTACCGCCCTACGTTACCTGGATACGGCTTCTAGGCCGCGTATCCGTATCAGATACGTGACGGATACGGGATACGTATCCGGACGTATCCGATACGTATCCCGTACGTATTAGTGATTCGATGCAGAGCCGCCGTCTCGTCGTCTCCCATCCCGATGCAGTGATTCGATGTCGCCACCACACGTTGGGTAGCAACTGCGTCGTCGCCGCACCCGGCAGCACAGCACCTGCTCTGCAACACATGCACAGCCGCACAGCACCTCCGCCACGAGTTTAGAGGCCGGGTGGCAGCCGACCAGGGCCGTCACCGCCCAAGGCAAGACAGCACCAGCTGCATCGAAGCACCCATGCAGCTTTTTATTTGTTTCCCTCACTACTTGAGATAAATCCACTCCTCTAGTGTTCCATGCTTGATCTGCAATGCCTCTATTATTTTATTTTAGGATAAGTAGTCAAGGACTATCGTTTTTGTTAGATCCAACTTCCAAATGCTACTGTGCAGTCTGTGCTAGTGCATCTAGCAATTCTAAGGGTAGTGCGGCTGCTAATGTTGATGCACATCCATCAAGAGCAACTGTGTTGATTGAACTATTAATTTGCGCTTTGTATGCTATTTGTAGTCTTGCGCTTTATTACACACAATTTTTTTTTGGGGGGGGAGCCTTAAATCGCTTCGTCAACTATAGCAGAGTTGGAGAGGATGGTCATGGAATGGACTGCAACTGCACTAATACTAGTATTATATTGCTATTTTCTTAAAAAAATCCTTAATATTTTGTATTTCTAATATATATAAAAATATATAAGCGTATCCCCATATCCTTGTTTTTTGAAAAATACCGTATCCCTGTATCGACGTATCGCGTATCCGTATCCGTATCGCCGTATCGAGGTAACATAGCTGCCGCCTTCCCGCGGATGGGTTGGCAAGTTCACGCTCGCTGACCACCACTACCGTTGATTCCTCGTCGGGAGAAATAGGAAAAGAGGAGAGAGATAGAGGGGGTAGGGAAAAGTATACACTGGTGGAAAAAGTACACCGAAGGTCCCTCAACTTGTCATCGAGTTACAAAATCGTCTGCCAACCGCAGAACAAGATATCCGGCGTCCCTTAACTAATCAAAACCAGTCACAATAGGTCCTTCGGTGGTTTTGATCCTGGTTTTATCCTACGTGGCGCCTAAGTCAGCGTGGGACCTACGTGGGCCCCACATGTCAGGCTGCCACATCATCTCTCTATCCCTTTCTCCTCTCTCTCACTCTTCTCTTCTCCTGTTCTCAGGGCAAGCCGGCCGACGGATGGGGAGGAGTCCGCCGGAGCGAGGCGGGAGAGGAGGAGGCAGTGGGCGACAAGGCGGCGGCGACGACGACAACACGGGAGGACTGCTCCTCCGCCGCGGCCCGGTCGCCCCACAGCCTCCTCAGCACAGTCTGCCACGGCATCGGCCTCGTCGGAGGCGAGCGAGGCACGCGCATCCCACCCAGGTCAGTGCTCCAGTGTCACAGCCTCTCCTCCGCCTGGGCCGCCGCGCTCTCCTTCGACACCTTCATCGACCACCACCTCCGTCTCGCCAACCGCCGATGGGGTCCCAAGCTTTGCATCCCGCCGGAATCGGCGTTCGCCGACACGGTGAGTGCGTGGTCGCCGGAGACGCCTAGGAACGCGACGGCGGCGGCGTCTGGGAAGGCGGCGACCGGGAAAGCGTTGCTGTCGTTGGGCGGCACTAGAGGAGCTCGGGCGGCGCCAGTGTCGGTCTCGCCAGTTGTCGCGTCGTCTCCTCTCCCGCCTTGCGCCGCTAGCCTCGTGTGGCTCTTCCTTATCCACTTCGGGAAGCAAACCGTCGGAGAGGATGCGGTGAGGAGGGATTCGGCGGATGGGGAGGATGGAAGGATGCAGCGGAGGAGGGAGGGGAGGGAATCGGAGCTGGAGCCCGCGGCGATGAGGGAGTAGTGGATAGCGCCGTTGTGGTGGTAGGAAGAGCCACCGCCTCTCCTTCTCCCACGCTGCCCGTCACCGGCCACCACCGAGCCGCTGCCTCTCCTTCTCCCACGCCGCTCGTCGTCGGCTGCCACCGCCACCACGTCGGCCGTCACCGGCCGCTACCGCCCTCCTCCCGTCCCACCTTGCCACGCCCAGCTGGCCAGCTTGCCCAGGGAAGACCGGAAGAGTGAGAGAGAGGAGTAAGGGAGAGAAGAGAGGAAGAAGGGAGAGAAGGTGGGAAAGAGAGTAAAGGATGACGTGGACACTGACATGTGGGGCCCACGTGGGTCCCACGCTTGACTCAGTTGCCACGCCGGATAAAACCGGGATCAAAACCGCTTGAGGACCCAAAATGATCTGGTTTTATAAGTTAAGGGATGACATATATCTGGTTTTATGGTTTGAGGATGATTTCATAATCCGATGACAAGACGAGGGACCTCACATGTACTTTTTCTACACTTGTCGTGTTAGGGTGGCTGATCAGCATGGATCGCCTGATCAGCATGGTCGATCCAGTTTGTCGGGCCTCTTAGCCTGTTCGGCACCATTTTTTCCAAATGCATGCATTTTCAGCTTTATTTGGATGACTTCGGTAAAATAGCTAACACACGACAAAACTATACGAATAGATTAAACTAAACCAAACTATTACATTTGAACGTCTTTTTACCCAATTTAAGGTTGGTGGTCAAAATGGGGTTTAACAACCGCCAATATTTTAAAGCCTATAGTTTTAGCTAGTCAAATTTAGATTAGGTAGGAGGAAGAGGAGGGAGTATAGTACTGGTTCAGTAGCTAAAATGAAAAGAAAACAATAAAATAGTATAAAGAGGTATAAAATGAAAAGAAAACAATAAAATAGTATTAAAGAGGTATAAAATGAAAAGAAAACAATAATATAGTATTAAAGAGGTATATTAGATCTCAGTATAAAATTATAGTTTGCTGAGACAAATTTTTGGATAAAAAACATAGTTTTTTTAGAACGGAGGTATGAACCAAGGGAGTATGATTTACCACTTATCAGTACTTAGGATCAATCAGCAAATGCTATGAATGAATCGGTTAAAAAAATTGGTGGCATTCTAATTTTTTATTAATATACAATTTATTTGAAGTGCAAACTAATTTTTAGAGTAAATTTCATAAAACTACAAATACATCGACCAAACTATCGCAAAACTACATATTTAAACTAATGTATCATAAAACTACAGATTTAGCAACAAATTTATCGTAAAACTACCGATTTAGGAAGAAGTATTATAAAACTACAGATTTAAAAACAAAAATTATCACAAAACTACAAGTTTAATACCAATTTAATCACGAAACTATCATAGGAGCGTCCCAAAGATATGCCGTACGTGCGCTAGACTCGGACAGTGGGCCTTCCGGCCGTGGGCCACTTGATGGACATGCCACTGGGCCTTCTGGGCCTCAGCGAGCTCGGCGCCGGCGCCGGCGAGCCACCGGCCGCCACCGCGCCATGGTGATGAGCCCCGGAGAGCTTGAAGTACGTGTCCGGCGAAATGGGCGGCTTGGCGGGCGTCAGCGGCGAGTACACCGCGCAGTACCGCAGCTCCAGCGACTCGTTCCGCCGGAACCTCTCGATGAACTCCGCCGCGCGCCTATCGATGTCGTCCGCCGCCGCCGCCGCCGCGGCCACCGGCGACGGGCTCAACGACGGCTGCTGCTGCTGCTGCACCTGCACGCGCCTCGGGTAGTGGACGACCACCGGTGAGGAGGCCGGCGTGTAGAAGATGCTGTCGTCGTCGCCGTCCATGCAGTCGAGCAGGCTCGGCGTCCGTGACAGCGCCGCCGCCAGTGCCGGGGAAGAAGGAGACGATGCGGTAGTAGTAGCAGCGATGCGAACCGCGGCTCTCGCCGCTCGCGCCGCCCTGATCAGCACCCGGCGCAGAAGCGTGTCACGTTCCTCCTCCGCCTCCATCGCCATGCACGCATCTAACAATCTGGAGCTCGAAGCTAAGCTTGGAGGTGATCAATGGCGTGATCGACAAAAAAAGTAGAAATAGGGCAAGGGGTTTGTTGACCTGTAGTCTAGATAGAAGAAGAGCGATGCATATGGATATGCCTTCGTTAGTTGTCGTTGGAGCTAATTAAGCTAATCATAGGTGAGGTGGATATGTTGATTGTGTCGTCGTGTACTTGTGGTAATGTGTGGCTATATTTTATCGACGAAAAAGCATGTTTGCCGACGACTTAACGACCTAACCTTTCTTTTGTTTTTTTTGTATTTAGACTTATTTGTGTCAAAAAATATGTAATAAGTGGATGTAGCTTCGATTGAAGCAAAAGTGCTTAGGTTCAATATCCGGAGGATTCCATGTTAGACGCTCATTTTATCAAGAGTAAAGTGCACGGACGGTCCTTAAACTTGTGTGGATATGTCACCTAGGTTTCTGAACTCTCAAAATGCATTTCTAGGTCCCTCAACTTTTCTCGGATCACATATAGATCCAAACGGGCTCTAACCCGCTTCTTGTGCTGATGTGGCATGTCACAGTGGCGACTACGTGTCATTAGAACCCATATGTCATTCACATATAGAAAAAAATTAAGAACATATTTTTTCTCCACTCCTTTTCATTTATTTTTTCAAAATTAAAAACATCATTTTCTCCTCTCTCTTCTCTTTTTAAATTTTATATTTTTCTATGTGACTGACATGTAAATCCCATTCACACGTAAGCGTCACCGTGGCATGCTACGTTATTTTACGGAGCGGGTTGAAGTTCGTTTGGACCTATATGATACTCATGACAAGTTCGGGAACCCAGAAATACATCTTGAGAGTTCAGAGATATAGATGACACATCCGTACAAGTTTAAGGACCGCATGTGCACCTCACTCTTTTATCAACGACCTTCTAAATTAACATTAACATTAGCATGCTTCCCAACGACTCTAGTTATTTTTGTTTTTTTACCTGGATTTTGTGTGTTGTAGCTTCGAGTGAAATAAAGATCAAGTTTGATATTCATTATTTTAAAAGAGAAGATGTTTTGGGTAGTGATGCGGTCACGAAGACATTAGTTTGATGATTGGTCATTGATTATATATCATTAAACTATTTTTAAGAAAACTATAACTATCTTTGAAAGTTAATGCGAGGTAAAATTCAAAGTTAATGGTTAAGTATAAATGCATCGATTGCATGCATTATAAAACCTTAATTATTTGTAATATAATCGAATGGAGTGCTATTAACCGTTTCCCACTCCACAGGGTGAAAGGGATTAAAAACCGGTACTTTTAAGAACATATAAGTGTCTGTTCTAGGTTAGTATTTTGTTTTTTTTTAAAAAAAGGATACCTATATTATTATAGGGGTTGGTTCTTTAAAAGCTAACACATATAATTAAAAAAAATCGGTTAAGTTGATCGACCGAGCCAGTGTCCTTATCTACTTGTGAACTCGCCACATCCGCCCCGCGTCTTCCTCATATATTCTTTCTCCACCGCCCCTCCTTCCTCCTCTTCTCCATCTGATCGATCGACGCCGCCTCAATTGCCATTGGCAAGACCGACAGTGAGTGGATCTGGCGCCGTGTGCTTGCTGGTGGCTAAATGCGCCGTTGCATGCTCGGGGGTGACCGAATCCGCCGCCGCAACCACGGGGGTGGCTATCTCGATGACGGCAACAATAGCGATGGAAGCTCTCTGTACTCATATTGATTTTGTTTTTAATGATTAATCTGTGATTGGATGATGATGATCTTACGGATGATGCCTTTTTTTTTTCATTCCTTGAACTTTAAATGTGCTGGTTCCTAAACTGGTATCATTGAGTCCTTCTAAAACCCGCTATCTACTAGGTGCCAGTTGAGAAATTCGATACGTATGGTCAGTTCCCATTTCCCAACCAGCATCGATCATCTTTTCTGTAGTTGTGGGTAAACGTCAACGTTACTCTCCTTCAAGAAAGTAAACTCCGTGAATTTTCCTGCTCGTTGAAGACTTATCGATCTCCAGAATCCCATACTTGGTCATCAACAAGTAAGATCTAACATGCGAATTCACATATAGAATGGTCGTCATACATTCTTTTCGTCCAGAAACCTTCTTGAAGTAAACATTGAATGATAAACTTCTAGTAAAAATGTAAAATATTTATCAGAAATAATGGGAAGATGCTTGTGTACGGTACAGATCGGAATATTTGATATGTGCCCGTGGCATACCATATCAGATTTTTTTAATATAATAATAATCAGCCGCTGAATTAAAGATGAAAAACTTTTGTATACTCCCCTCCGAGTTTAAATACATGGTTAGTTGACTTTCAAACATCTCACCTCCCGTTCCTGTTTTCGCAGGTGGATGTGTGATTCAAAAAAAAAAAAAGCCCACCTGAACAAATGGAAGGGCCTTGACTCCAAAAATGGTTTTCCAAGTAGTGGTAATTGACTAGACTCGTTCAAATTTCTGAAACTTTAATCATCAATATACCTCAAAATATTTAGTTTGAAAATACAAAAATCACATGCGTACATAGATTTAACTATGATTAGACTTTTAAAACTTTAATAATAAACATCTCTCAAAATATTTAGTTTAAAAACATAAAAATCATATGGGTACATTGATTTAATTTATAATAAATTAACTTTTAAAACTCTAATTATAAATATCTCTCAAAAATATTTAATTTAAAAACATAAAAATCATATGGGTAGATTTTAGTTAAGTAATTTTAAACTATAATAGTTTATTAGATATTATTGTTGTATTATAATAGAAAAATAGTGGTCAAAGTTGCACATATCCTGTACTTTATCTTCCTAGCTCTCGCACTATATGGGTATGAAAATACAACACAATAGTCAATAATAATAACATGCTAACTGGTTGTAGATACATACACATCGTCGTACTACGATAACCGACACTAGTTAAATTGTGGCTAATATATGTGTGTATATATATAATATCTCATATTTTTCATGATTATTATACAAAGATATACTAACAAAATCGATAATACAAACTTATACTCCCTCCCTCCCATTTTCAGTGCAGCTATGGTTTTCCGCGACCAACTTTGACTGTCCGTCTTATTTAAAAAAATTAAAAACATAAGTCACGAATAAAGTACTATTTATGTTTTATTATCTCATAACAACAAAAATACTAATTATAAAATTTTTTCAAATAAGACGGATGATCAAAGTTAGGTGCGGAAACTTATGGTTGCATTTAAAATGGGACGGAGGGAGCATATGACACTTTACCCTCAACACATAGTTTTCTTGGAACAAATGATAAAACGTGGGTTTTACCTAATGGATACCCTAAACCCTTAGGTCCTGAGACTAGCCTCATTATTACAAGATGCCACATTGGAATTTGACAAACCAGAACAGTAGTAAAATTCCCAATAAAACATCGAGTAGGCACGAATTTGATAGGCTATGGTATACTAAACATCGAGTGGTATACTAAACTCTAAAACACTCTGTAGCCTTTCTTCTCCTTCCTGCTCTCCTTCTACATCAGATAAATTAAAACCTGCCCCCAACTGAAGCTCCCACAGCGATTTGGAGTCACGTGTTCGATCGCCGCGCTATCCACGTCGCGCCCCGAAGCCCAGGTAGCCAGATTTCGCGAGCGAGCGCCGAGCTGTGGGATCTGGTTATTTTTCAAAAAAACCCTCGATTTTACCGATAATTTATTATAGATCCCTAGACGTACATTCCTCAGCCATGTATTCTTACGCCCCGGCCCTTTGAAATATGAAATATCTTATGGTAAGAAGAGAAAATTCAGAAAACAGAAGTGCGCTCTGAAAAGCGTAAAGTGAGGGGTCTTTTTGCGAAACCGAACATCCCTCCAGGCTCCACCTCCCCTAAACCCTAGCCGCCACTCGACCGATGTTCCCCTCTTGCTCTCTCCCTTGCCCTCACGGCGGCGGCGGCGGCCGGCCATCGCTCGCTTTTCTCCGCCGTTGACGACCAGTCCCCTTCCTCCTCCATCGCCCCTCTCCTACGGATCGGAAATGAGTTCTCGTATATCAAAGGTACCAACTTTTGGAGTGCCATATATATCATATCTATCCATCTTTTATTTTCGAATAGCATATTTAATGTGGCATATATCAAAATTTTCCATCAAATATATCCTCTGAGCGTGTCCAATTAATAAGTGGCTATATACAAGTTTTTATAATTGTATAAGACTTTGTATTGTTGAGTTGCCATCATATCCTCCCATTAGGTCATATAAATTAGGAAGCGTTGAATAACTCCCATGACGAGATTGATCGAACCTAAACTCTAGAAAATTTGTACAAACAAGCGTGGAGAAGTTTGGTTGGCACAACACATGAGGGGCTGCAAATGAATTAATGAAATGGTTGAGCTTTGACATTCTTTTTCCTAACCAAGCAACAGATGGAGAGTTTGAAATTTTTCTCAATTTTTAGAACGCGCAGGAGATCCGCGTGTCAAGTACATAACAGATCAAGAAAGGGAAAGGCTGCCAAAAAATCTGAACAAATAAAAACTGACAAAACGATATAAAAACTACCCTAACCCAATCAATTTCTCAACGCAATTTAATTAAGTAGATCCTGCTTTTGCTTCCATTGCAAACACATTCCTAGCTCCTCGATGTGGTAATAAACCAAAGATATGACTTCTCTGAAGATCTGAACATTTCTTCCAAATCAGATCATGATTGACGACCTTAATTTGATTTGTTTTGAAGAAAGATTGGCTGCAGCTACAAGTCGATCTGCATGCAACTGTAATGTTGGTAGCTCCATTTCTCAATATAGGTATCCCTGCTTGCTTCCATTGGAAAAAGTCCTCCATGATATGGCCGACTAAAAACTGACACTGTTAGATACATTTCTGAAGACTGATTACTGGGATCCCTCGTCAACACGACGACTTTCTACAATATAAGTTCCATAGTACCATTGCGGTGAAGTTGCTTCTCAACGTTAGATTGAGAAGCTAATACTACCTCCATATTTTAATGTATGACGCCGTTGACTTTTTGTCCAACGTTTGACCATTCGTTTTATTCAAAAAATTTATGTAATTATCATTTATTTTATTATGACTTGATTCGTCATCAAATGTTCTTTGAGCATGACATAAATGTTTTTATATTTGCACAAACATTTTGAATGAAACGAATGGTCAAACGTTGGTCGAAAAGTCAACGGCGTCATACATTAAAATATGGAGGGAGTATTATTTTTTCTCTGATTAATAGATCTCGATGGAGCAAATTGGTCGAAGAAGGAAGAAGAACATACAAAAACACTTTCCCCCTTCCTATTGTCACTCTCTGTTGGCAGCATAATAAGGTCGTGTTTACTGTACCTGTTGATGTGCAGTTAGGGATGTAAGTGGGTAGTCCCGCTATCCATATAAAAACCCACTTATTAATTTATTTTCCAGTTCCCGCACAATATTTTATTTCCCGCTTATCCGCGCCCTTCATGCATCTGTATCTGCAGTGGCCAACATCTATCGTGTATTGTCAACCAAGCAAAATCTCTGTCTTTTGTGTTTAAGAGGTGATAAAATCACAACAAATTTAACTGTGACAAGGACATTACACACATTGAACCAAAGAGGTGTGACCATGAACCTAGCATTGGATGTCCATTTCACAGGATTTTTGGATAATGAAGGAGAGAAAGACACATTTCAGAGGATATATATATATATATATATATATATATATATATATATATATATATATATATATATATATATATATATAGACACACACACTGTACCACTTATTATTACTTCCTCATTGGCTTGCAACTGAATAATCAAGTCAAAGATATATAGCAATAACAAAAACAACACGGATTATCTACATAAATGAGCAGACAGGGGGCTAAAGACTCCATATAAGTCTATATGCATGTGCACACGCATTAGTACAACACTCCAATTATCCTTCTAGAAGGAGATTTTTATGCCCATCGTCAACTACTGTAACTGTCGAAGCTTGAAACAAAGCAGGTGCCGTGCCGATATGGATGGACCCAATTTAAATGACGTACTCCCTCCATATTTTTATATTTGGTGCTGCTAACTTTTCACATCAGAAGTTTGACCATTAATCTTGTAAGTATCATTTATTTTGTTATGATTTGTTTTACCATTATGAATACTTTAAACATGATTTGATAAGATTTGTAGTTTTGGTTAATTGATGACAAACAATTAAGGGATTAATGCGCTTATTGAATGTATAAGAAGGGATTAGTTCGATGAAGAGCCGATGAAGATGATGAAGAAAAAGATGTAATACAATGAGGTTTACACTATGATCCAAGCCTAGAAGTGACGGAAGATGTCTAGATGTGGTGAAGAGTTGGCAATACTTGGCTACGCGATGGACCATGCATGGGAGAAGGGCAAGCGGAGGCTTGACGCCAAAGGACCCAACTCAGTGCTGGAGGAGCAAGTGCTTGGCTGAACACCGACGAACCGATCGAGGCCATGGGATGGATGGCACAAGTTGCTGAGGATCAACCCTTGGTGAAGAAACAGCGTAAGATGTAATGTCGAAGAACATGAGGATGTGATTTGTTGATGAACATCAAGCCAAAGGCCATTCAGCATTGATCAAGGCAATGAAGAAGATGGCGTAAAGGTATTCGTATTGGTATAGTTTTTCTATTTGCTCTTGAGTTGGTAGGAAAGCAAGGGGATGTTGCCTTGATGTCTAGGGATGAGTTTGGTGCTCAAAATATTTTCTAAAAGTGATTCTCATTCCTTATTTTTCACTTCTGGTGTTTTTCGGACCTGTTCGAAAGTGATTTTCGGAATTTCCGAAAATGGTTGTGAGCCGAAATTCGGTACTGGTCATTTTCGGACTTGTCTAAAAGTGTTTTTTTGGGAATTTCCGAAAATGATTGCGCTCAAAGTTTTGGTACTGGTCATTTTCAAACTTGTCATAAAGTGATTTTAAAATCATTGTTGATATTTCATCGATATTACTAGAAATATAATTCCTAGCAATTGCACCGAAATATTCTTGGTATATTTATGGTTACATATGTGATCCGCAAGCGCACGGATATACCGTTGTAGCATTTTACCCGGGAGTAATCCAAGGTATCATATTAATTTAATCCCAAGGAAAGATATGATAAGAAAGTACTATGCTAATAATTCATATATTACTTCTATAGAGCAAAGTCTATGCAGGGGTTAATTAATGCAAAGGGTAGGACAAGGTTGATACACAAAAGAAAGAACCAAGATACTTTTCACTAAAATATAATCTAGGCAAAGTGGAGAAAGAATAAGAAAAGAATCATTCATATAATTCTTGTATATAGTTTATTTAGTTTACGCTTACTAGTATACAATCATGCAACCAATACCCCTAGCTATGCCCTTCTAGTGTTTCTAGAGACCACCCCCGATTGCCGAGTTCCTTACAACAACCCGTCATGGCCATCCGACCGGTAATGAATATGACCATACCGGGAAAGTGTCTTAGGATTATATATTAACATGGAGGAATGCTCGTACTATGCTGTCACCATCAGCAGCCCACCTCTACTGACCTGCAACATATAACCCCAATTAATGGTATCGAATAATCTAAGCACCACACTTACATTATTAGATTATACTCGACATCTCTGTAGATGACATAGATCAATCATTTGCATGAACATTAAACTCGCACCAATGCATATATCTAGTAAGCTAGCTACACAATTATATCGAGACAAGTACAAACTAAAGTCGGTACTTGAGAAATGTGAATAAAGTAAAAGACCGAAATTATATAAAGTAGAATATTTCATTATACTATAAGTCTCACAAAAGAAGGAAGAGCTACTAGAGCCATACCCGAAATCTCCTAAAGACTCGAGGACTAAGAAAACTATTATGTATTCTATTCCTACTCCACTCGCACTAGAACAATAAACTAAACTTGAGAGAGCTTCTTGATCTTCTTCTTGATCTTCTTCTTGAATGAGCACCCCTTTATATTGCCTCTCAATGACGGTTATGGCAGTTGGAAATGCTGGAAACACCCTCCAACAATGACAGTGCATCTGGAGCGTGCACGTGGAAGACCAGGATGAACCTGGGCTGGCCCATCCGGCCTCCACTTTTGGCAGGTGCGTCTTTTGTTGGGCTTTATTCTCCGTGATGTGGTGGTTGGGCCTATTTGATGTTATTTTATTGGATATGTAAGCCCATCCACCCATGAGTCTACCTCTCGACGGGCGGTGATTGATTGTTCAGCTATTTTTAAACAAAATATGTAGAGTTCTCAGCAAACAAATAAAATTCCAAGTACAAGTGGAGATAGATTATTCTTAAACAAAATATGCATGCAAGCATAGCTAGTTCTCCTTAATTCCGGTTATATTGTCGGCCGAAATTGGTCTATAACAACCGTCAACAATCACTGTGCATCGAAATTTTGGATTTGATTATTTTCGGACTTGTCCTAAAGTGATTTCCGGACTTAATTTTTAGAATTTCAGAAAATAACTCTGCATCAAAAAAATTGAAATGACTCTGCATCAAAGTTTTTGATCTGGTCATTTTCAGACTTGTCCTAGAGTGATTTTTTTGGATTTCTCCGAAAGTGATTTTTGGATTTTTCTGAAAAAATGTGTCTTTGCTCTAGAAAGCAGTTCTAAAACTACTACAGCCATCTCAAAATATAGGATCTTTTAGTCACACACTGGTGTTAAGAAAGTAAGTATAATTAAGTGGGAAAAGATTAGTAGTTGAGAAGAGGAGTTAGGTGAAGAATTCGAATAGTGGAAAATTGTGATTGATTACGAAGAGAATGTAGGTGAAAAAACTATTATATTCTAGGATAAAGTTTTAATGTTAAAATTTGCTATATTTCCCAAAAAGCATTGCACCTTATTTCTTTCAGAATGCTTTTGATATTTCCATTTGTATAACATCTCTAAACATATTAGTTATACTAGAAAAACGTCCCGCGCGTTGCCGCGGGATCGCATGAGATTAGTGAGGACACTAAAGCAATGGGATATTTATATATTTATTTCATGGATAAATTATTTTTTAGGAAAAATGTGTTCAATCTAAATGACCATTTGAGGGCTTTTAAAGTAATCGACAAAATGTTTTTTTTCTCTTTATATGATCTTTTTTAATAACTAACGCCTATCTTTTTGGCACTAAATATTCCTTTCTCTATATTTTTTAGGAGTTTTAAAGAACCCAACATTGACATATTATTTCCTTTTATTTGCATAGAATTGACATTATACATGTGAATCATCCAAATAATCAGCCTCACACATTCTTGTGTTCGTAATTTACATGTTTAATGTTTTTCGCCCGAGATGTGTTTCTACATCTTATCACCCAGTTTCAAACAAATAGTATGTGTTAAATTCAGACCTCTACTCTACAAAATAAGTTTTTCAAGTTCTGTCTCGATACCTCGATCACCTTTTCCTTGTCAATACTAATGCGATTTCTTTACTTAATTTCCTTTCATAAGTTCACTACCTAAATATATAAGTAAACATGACCATCTGGAAAGCTTTTTCTAAGAAATAAATAGAAGTTGGTAGCCTTTGCCGGGGAAGAAAATTCAGGCAAATTTGAAATGTCAAAATCAGTACAAACATCACATTTATAAGAAACAACTTGCAATATTATATTTTGACACACAACGGACTTAATATGTCTTGCGGCCCATGTACAAACACTCAAATATTTTTGTTTAAATGTTATTATATTCCAAACAGGATATAAGTTTGTTATATGATAAATTGTTCAAATATATTTAGTTTTGGACTCGTTTGTTCCTCTCACCATCGAAAACATAATAGAATACACATATTACAAACTCTATACGTTATACATGCAATCATTTCAAATCTCAATGGTTATATGACCAACAATTTATTATATTATTTAAAAGGAAGAGAAGGGCTCTTTACAAAATGCAAACGCCGGCCAACATGCATTGTGGTATTTATATCTCACTGACAAATGGCCCAAACTACAAACCAACTGAATTTTGCTTTCAACATAACAGCTTGCCTCTTGTATCACTGATGATTGGTCCAACCTATGATGGACCCCTTGTACAGGCTATGGAGCCATGCAAAAGCCAAAGAGTTTGCATCTATGAAGAGGGCCAAGCAAACGGTAAAGTAAAGCATGTACTACTACTAACCATGAACAGTGCAACAGTAGAAGTAGCTGTGTGGATAGCTATGGCAGCTTAGGCCGTACCTCTCTAGGAATATAGATATACTCCCTCCATCCCATAATATAAGGGATTCTAGGGTCTGTCCAGATTCGTTGTACTAGGATGTGTCACATCCACCCAAATTCTCTTATATTATGGGATGGAGGGAGTAGGTAGATATGTGAATGAGCTCAAATTAGTTATTTGTTATTTTTGAAAGCTTTTAAATTTGCATGGAATCAAACTGTGAAGCAAATAAGATAAAAACAATGCTTTAGCAATGAAGCAATCGTCAAATGTAGTATAGATAAAATATGTACCTGGAATTAAAAACATACCCCACACAGTGTCGGGTGTATTGTAAAACTTACAAAATTTTTAGAACTTATTCTCAATGAGTAAAAATTCTCCAAGCCTGTGCTTGTCTAGATTAAAATACAAAACCTTCTTTATTTATTTCCTCTCACCACGGCCTTGGCCCAAATATATTTCCTGAAACCAAACTCTACTAGTCAGTGATTGTCTTCGATCTCTTGCCTGGATACCATGCATAGAATGAACTCTCATCTTTCCCTTTTTGTCTGTTAAGTGATTATTATTATTATTATTATTATTATTATTATTATTATTATTATTATTATTATTATTATTATTATTATTATTATTATTATTATTATCAACTTTCCTTTATTTGAGATTTAAAACAACAAAACTAGGACTTCTGAAGAAAGAAATAGAAGATAAAAAGTTGAACTTCCTAATTGTGATATTCTTAGTAAAGAAAGTGAAACCTGTTGAAACGCATTTTTTTTATATAATCTCAGTATCAAACTGAATAATGTATTAGAATTTCACATGCAAAAATCAAAACTGAAATCAACAGAAAAATTAATTGTTTCATGGTTTTAAGTATTTATTTAAGGACTGGACTGAAACCCAACGAAATGGAAGCTTTGCAGAATTGGAGCATGAAAATATAAAAGGAAAAGAAATGCTGGTATAACTTGATCATCAAGGAATGAGTGATGAACCTTATCGAAGCAAACAACTTAATTAGTTAATTCCAGAACTTCATGATGAAAAAAGTGAAACTGTTATTTTCCATCCATGATTAAAATTTGTATGATGTTGGGTTATATCTTTTCTGATTTCACTCACACATCACGCATTGACAATATCGTTGTATTCTTCACTGATAATTTACCATATAAAATCTTTGTACATGTACAGATAGAGTAAATTATCTTTTTTTTGCATGATAATTATGGTGATTAATTGTGTACAAAATAATATATTTCAACTCATTCTGGTGTTAAATTATACATAAATTAATATATTTATAATTACTTTTAACTATAGGCAAGGTTGTAAATTTTTGGAGCATGGGGCATGTGACCTGTGAGGGCATGTGCCTACTCTTTTCGTGTTTTAGTTTTATTCACTATGCTCCATGCTCTGCTGTTTTTTCTTTAAAGTTCTTTCTAATCCATTTATAATTTGTCACATATACTGGATAAATTGCTTGCGCATCTAATTCTTTTATCTTCTGTTTTTTTAGATAGCATAGACCAGAGTACCATGGCACTTCTAGCACGGTGTGACTAAGTAGTTCCAGATCTTGATGGTACAACTTGGCTTCTTTTTGCTTGGGACAAAGATCATGCCACCGTAGCTGCATTCACACTGTGTTGCCCCCTTCATCACCTACTAGCAAGTGGCTCTTCTTCAAGACTTCATAGTGATGGCGATGTTCGTCCCTAGCATATTCGCCTGCCTTGTTGCGCTATCGGCTCAAAGCTAGCCACCAGAGAGTTGTCAGCGATCGCTCCATGAGTGAGGAGGAGATTACTGGCCCTAATGTTCATCGCCACCGTCATTTTGTTTGTGTCGGTGGTACTCGTAGGGTTCTTCTACTACTATCTTATTGAGTTGAGGGTGTTTGTCTTCGATTGTCTATTTATGGCGACCAGACTTACAGTGTACATCGCGTATGCGTTATTTAGAGCTTGATGTGTCTTGGTCTACTAGGACATGTTCAGTACTGTACTCTTTTCAGACTAGAGGTTCTACATTTGGAGAGATGCAGAAAATGCTAGCAGCCATGTTTGGAGAGATCCATGGACTAAATTCTAGTAGCATTAGTTCATGACTACCTGAGAAAGAAACTAACTCCAATTGATAGGGGAATGCGAACCAAATAAGCATGGCAAGGAAATGAGCGACATGCTTATGTGATGATCACGTTTCATTGAACTTGTTGAATTGTGGTCAGCAGTAGTTGTTTGGAAAAGACACAAGATCAACATCTAGCGGGTATGATTTGATGTACCCTGAACGCATGGAATAATGTGTTTTCATATACTAGGTCATAACTCCTTCATTAACCATCCATTGGATTGCTTCAAGGCTGAGGCCGGTTGCCATGGTTTGGTGGCTATTTTGACTAGCAGAAGTTTGATATCCATTTCCCTAGCCAGTGCCATTTGCCAATTTGGTGCGAAGACTAGCTAGCTCATCTTCTTTTTGCTGTAATGCAGCTGTGCCCTGAGCCAACCATTCCGGGTGACAGAGTTTAAGGTCAACACGCCTAATAGGAAGCAAACCCTGACGAATAGATAATCAAAACAATATGACTAAGCCAAGCTTGAGATGGTGTGCTCGATTGATTTGCAAGGGACCATCTCAAACCAATGGATAATCAAACCATCCTTGCAAATCTTTGCATAAAACCAATGGATGTTGGCATCTTTGCATAAAAATTTAAAGGTTTCTTCAAGACCAAAACGCTTGGGGGTTCTAAACATTATGTTCATCATCATGGGTTTCCGAGAACCATGACTGTAAAATGGACCAAGGGGCTTTTCGCTTTACCACCAAAGATACCAATCAAATAAACTCCCTCCAACTTATAACATGATGAATAGGCTAACACCACTTCATATAAGAAGGGCCAATAGGGTTTGTGCTAGTATAATGAACATATAACAGGTTGTGCTAAAGCATATCGACACCCCATAGCTATCTAAGATG